TCGCTCGCGCTCTCGCATCTCTCGCTCTCGCTCTCGCTCTCGCTCCTCGCTCTCGCTCTCGTTTTTGCCCGCTTTCCGCCCCTGGTTTCGTTCCCTTTCCTTCCCCCCCTCCTCTGGGCCTCCTGTTCCGTTGCCCCCCTGCCCCCCCCGCCTCCCCCCCCCTCTTTTTCGTTCTCTGTTCCCCTTCTCTTTCCTTCTCTTTTTTCTTCCTGTCCGAGCTCTCGCCAAATTAACGAAATGGGCGATTCGCCGCCCCTTGCCGCATGTTTTCCACTTGAAAAGTCCCAGTTGTCCACATGGCGCTCTGAGTTCTTTACGTTGCCGATTAATCGACTGGCCCAAAATGTTTGTACCCGCGTGTGATCCGATCAGCGCTTGTATAAGGCAGGACCAGAAATCGTTAACTATGCCCGGCAAGGAGCACTTTGAGGTGACTAAGCTGACAAAGTCGACGGTTGGCGGCCCGAAATGGATCTGTGCTGGCCTTGATCTGCTCCGTCTATCCATGCGCAAGGATTGCGAACTCTCCGCCCCTTATCTGTTCTACTGGCACAAGCTGGAGCGCTGTAATTATTTTCTCCATACCGTGATAGAGCTCCTAGCACGTTGTGAGCCAATAGATGGACGCACCTTTAAGTACTTGATGAAGCACACGGTGCCCGATGGCGGAAATTGGCAGATGTTTGTGAATCTCATCCAGAAGTACGGTGTTATGCCCAAGCAATCCTATCAGGCTAGTTGGTCGTCAACTCGATCGTTGCATCTTAACAAGATGCTTAGGAGCAAGGTAAGTGCTGTCTACCTCAAATCCGGTTGAATTGAGACTATGTTATTATATTTTGCAGCTGCACGAGTTTAGCTGCCGACTGCATGCGAAATTTACATTTGATGGGGATAGCCATATGCTGCGATTAATGATGGAGCCCATGATTGAAGAGCTTTACAAAATAATAAGCATTTGCTTGGGAACGCCACCCGTAAACTTTACGTGGAGCTTAAAAGATGAAGACCAGAGGCTTATTTATACACCGCTGAGCTTTTACCAGGCCATGATAGAGCCCTATTTTTCACGCGAAGCGCAGGTTTGCCTGGGCCACGATCCCCGCCTCAGCTCCATCTTTAACCGCAACTATCACATCGCAAACAGCTCCAACATGATTGATGGACTACAGCAAAGTTACATCAACCAACCAATGGAGATTCTGCTGGAAACCATCGTAAAGTCTCTGGCAGCTGGCTCAGCTGTATGGCTGGCCTGCGATCTGCCCGTTTTGTATAACAAAAATTTGGATGTGCTCAGCCTGAAAACGTACCACTTTGATCAGGTTTTTGGCATGCCCGTGGATACGGCACTTGACAAAGCCGAACGTATGCTCTACAAGGCGACGCGTCGCAATACAGTGCTGTTGCTGACAGAGGTCACGTTGGATGCAGTGCGGCAGCCGTTGCAATTCAGCACTATGCGAAAGGTAACAGAACCGACAACCACCAAAAAGACGGACTCCTCAGATAGCCTACGCCTGCCGGAAGCTGTTGAGGCTGACGCTGAGGCCAAACAGGATGCAGTCAAGCGTAAAGTGGCCAGCGGCAAGGCTACCGTCTTAAATGTCGATTGGCTGCGGGAGTATGGCTTCGAGATAGTTGTCGACTCCCGCTATGTGCCGCCAGGCGTGATGCACGCGCTTCAAACTCAGCCCAGCGTGGAACTGCCCGTTTGGGACCCCATGGGCGCGCTGCTCAGTTGATGGCTGATGAGTCCCCAGGTAGTTGTTCAGGGCTGGCATACCGTCCAATACACCAAATCAGCTGTCATCAATTTTAAATTCTGGCAAGGAGCTGCTTCCGCCTGGCCTAAACCAAACTCTTTGATATTGAATGCCTTTCAAGACATTTATAGAAAATTGTAATAAGTTTTTAAATGTTAAATGTTCTTAATCCGAAATCATAAAAACTTAATTATGATGTAGCCAGGCGGTATATTGTAAAAGCTTAAATAATAATACAGTTTTAATGGAATTGTTTTTTTTTTATTATATAGAAATTATACACAACTTTAACTTAGTTTCTAAGATGAACCAAATTAGTTCCTTCTTTTCGTGTCATTCTAACCGTGTTATATATTAAAATGAATGATTGGCTTTTTAAATATATCTTAAACATTCTTGACTTCACGAGCGGAATTAGTTCCTAATTTTTCTCTGACTTTAAATGCTGTAATGTATTGAAATTATTGAAAAATCTTGCATTCAAACCGACGAGCCGCGACCTTAGCTAAGTTTTTGGGAATTAGACTTACGTGCCTAGCATGCCTAATTAGGCATTAGAGAGACAATTGCGGCGGGAGTTTGGAAGCAAATGCGACCGTTGCCGTCAAGTCGACGACTGTTTTGGACTTAAGGGATTTGCGCTGAAGAAATTTAACTTTGCATAAAAGAGGAACAACAAAAAGCGCTTTGTCTTAAGACAAAATGTTCATTTATTAAATTTACGATAAAATGTTCTACCATTTCTTATAGCTTTTTCCTCTGCCATAGCCAATATTATAACCTCGACCAGCACCAATGTAGGGATTGCTATAGTAGGGCTGCGGTTGTACCAGAATCGGTTGTACTATCACCTGTGGCTCTGGATAGTACAGCTTCTTCAGAAGATGACGTGGCCCACGTAGCTGATTAGTCTCTGATGGCGTGGCGGCGCCTCCCTCTCCTGTTGCGGAAATTCCATCAGCATGCAGGTCAGCATCTGACAAATCAGCAACTGCATTGTGGTTATCAGGAAAGGCCACAACCAAGACAACAGTGAGGCTGCTAAGCAAAAGAAACGCAACGAGCTTCATCCTGACGAAAGACGATCTGTAACTGAATAAACTAAACAGCCAACAGACTCTTAAATACGCGTCATGGAAAAAAAAAAAATATTGCAGGTAACATCTGGGCAAAACTACCTGATTTATGTTTACGGAGCAGCTGCAGAGGATTAGCGCAGATTACTACTTGGAAATGTTAAATCGTTTATGAGTCTATAAATCAGCAAGGCGATTTGGTAAATGTTTTTTTGGAATGCTTGAAACATAATTTATTTTAAGGCTAATTCCTTATTGTTGCCGTGGTTCCCTAACCCCTACGCAAGCGCCTTACTATATGATATATGTATGCAAATAATATTTAGGTATTCCTTATCCTTAAACTGGTGGTGCTGGTAAACCCACGGGTGGTGCTGGCACTCCATCAGGCGGTGCTGGCATTCCCTCAGGTGGTGATGGCATCTGGCGGCGTTGCTGTTGAGCCAGAAATCATAAATAATGTGCAATTAGTAAAGTAAGTTAACTCTTTGATGATGTTGCATAGTCTCTAATTTGAGTCTCTTAAAACTATGCCAAACAAGTTCAAAAAATATTTTCCCTACATGACAAATGAGCTCGCTAAGGCTGCTGGTATTGAGAAAGTCTTATAACAATTTTGTTCTTCTTGATAATGGTTCCATTAACATCCACATAAGTTCTGCCTTAGTTTTGACTACAATATTTGACTACAATATTTTGCTGGTGGTAAGGGAATACCAGCTGGTAGCTGGCCAATGAATGGGTAACCTTATTGTTGCCAGAATACAGAAGAATGAATACAGATCAAATGGGAACTAACTAGTTAATAAAGATAGGAAAAGCTACAAGTAAAAGTATTGGAATATTTTACTTACCCTGAGATGTGATGGTGGTTCTTCGTTAGTCACCTGCGTTGGTTCGTTGTTCAAGTTCATGATATTGCGACGGGGCTGTTAGCATATGGACAGATTTCAGGTGTAATACTCTATAGTTATATCTGATAGCTTACTCTCAAATGTGGTGGGGGTGGTGGCGGATGTTCGTTGTTGACATAAGCCGATACGCTCTCGAGTCCCTTTTTATGAGTGTGGACATGGCGCCGTGCCTAGAATTAGTAGGCATTGGCAAAATCGCATAAGTAATTTCTTCCGCCGCATCAATTGCTCTTCATTAATGCTTAATTGGCGACGCGTCATGGGGCAGAGAGATTTTAACTTTTGTGCCATTTATTACACAACAGACTTACCCTGACAAAGAGGCGTACGGGCTCCTGTAGCAAATACTTATTTAGAATATTTGTAATAGTGCAGCAAGTATTATGTCGCTTACCTCCAAGCCCTTTGTAGAGCCACCGCCACCGCCACCACGTCCGTCCACGCCGAACAATGTCAAAGCCACCACGTAAACAACCAAAACAACGCAAAATAGCTTCATTTTCGTTCCGTCACGTCGCGTTCAATATTTTGGGAATGGGAGAAACTGTGACTTCTCGCCGCTGGCCAGCAGTTAGCTGTGCAGCTTCTTATATACGTTCTACCCCCATGGGTATTTCGATTTTAATTGGCTTGTTAAACGTTATCCGAAATCTTGTAAAATGTCAGCTTGCCAAGTAATTGTCGATACGTATCGCACAGGGGCAACAATTTAATTGTTTATTAAATCCCAGTTATTAGCAGCTGCCAAATGACATAAAGCAAGATGTATCCTCAAGATACATCTGCATTAACATCAAAAGGGCGGCATTTAAAATGAGAGTGTGTTTCGGTGAGCTATTGTGATATTATGCTGACCAAGCCAATTTGCCAGCTACTCTTAAAATATACACAAATTGAAAAATTAATATAGATTCAAGGACTTTAAATGATTTGTGCGTAGCCAACATTTTGAAAGAGAACCCCATTTATATAACCGACAATTCAGGTATTAAATCCATTTTATATTTTATATTTCTTGAATAAACTTATTTTAAACGTTGCTCTACCCTTGTAGAAGGTGCTTCAACTTTCTGCAAAATAACATATATTTTAAATAATAATATAATAAAATATATTTTAAATATGTAAAATAAAAGAGAATTAAAAAATTGTATCAAAAGAGTGAGGTTTTATACACGGTTGACTTAACATAGTGTAATTAATGAACTAGATCAGATCAGTTAATAGTGGATTGGCTAAAATATACATATGTTATATATGTTTGTTGGTTATAATACGCCCTGTTGCCAAAGTTCACCACCATGTCAATTGCAGCCCTGGCACTTGAAAACTGTGCGCAAGTTATGGGGCTCTTTTCATGGTCTTCTTCTTCTTCATATCCGGCACTAAACACGCCGGAATGAGTCCACGTCCACGTTTACCAGAGCTTTGCATAATTTTGAAATTATAACACGCTTTGATGCTGACGTGCCGAAAGGCGTAGGGCGCAAAATGCGTGTTTCTGTCGCCGTCTTTGTCTCTGGCTCAGTCTCTCGTTGTCAACCAAGTCAAATAGAGGTGCAGGCGACAAAAACGAAATTGTTGAAAAAGTTTACAAAATAAATAAGCGCACTTTTTTCTCATTTCCGTTGCTTACTTTGACGTGTTTAGTTTTTGATGTGCACATTCGCGCACACAGCAACAACAACAATAACAGGAACAAAGGTTCCAACAGTAAAGGCAGATGATTAAATTCGTCGCCAGTGTGGACAACGCCGTTGGTTCTAGCGGTGCCTCTCTATATGGGTTGCTCGTTGTCTGCATCTTAGAAGCACCCGCTCTTTGGCTTCACTGCTATTTTTGTCGCGCTCTCTCTTTCTCTCTCTCTCTCTCTCTCTGCCACTCTCCTTCGGGCTTCCTTTCTGTCTCTGTGTGTAAACTTTTCTCATTAGAAAACTTTTACTATTTCCGCTACTCAACGCCAAACGCAAACAACAAACAAACAGCAGCAGCGGCAAACAACAAAAAAAAAAAGCATAATATAAAATAAAATGAAAATAAAAATAAAAATTAAATGAAACATAAAATAAAAATAAGAAAAAAATAAACAAGAAAAATGAGTATCCTGGGCACGCAGCAGCTCAAATACCCTTTGTACACACAAAAGCGTTATGTCCAACCGATTTTTCCTATAGGTGCGATAGAATAAAGTAGCCCTACTGTAAGCTCTGACAAGATATCTTTGAAAAACGTGATCGTCTGGACAAAAGTTCATTTTTATACGATTTTTTCTATTGAGCTTTTTGATAAAGAAGTCCAATACACATACACGAGTTGTAGGGAGCTAGATAAAACTCCTAAATACCAAGATTGGTCAACATAATTATTTAAAGCAAACACATTTAAAAACTTAAGAAGAATATAGATAACTACATGATATGGGAAGAGTCCTAATAACATAAATGCTTTACTCTTTCTGCGTATGTTGCATAATGTATGACAAATTTAAAATATCCTTTAGCAAGGGGAAACACATAAAAAATCGTTTAGCGAACAAAAGGAAATGTGTTGCAAATAAAATTTCGGTGTGCGTAAGTGCCCGAATTGACATTGTTCCAGTGCATACATAAGCTATTTAAAATGTGGCAGCTGCGCTGTTGCACAATTGCAGCAATTTGCAACAGGCGCAACACAAAGGACTCTGCGAGCCTGTGAATTTGCTTTATTTAATTCTAGCAAAAGCAGATGGAATATGTCAAAGTCGCTGTTTGAAAATCAATAAATCAGCGTTTACCGTTTTACCTTTACCTCAGTCTCAATTCAATCAGATTTTGTTATTTGATTTTGCCAGACTCTGCGCCTTCCTGTTTCCTGTGACTTGCAGTGCGCATTTCCTATAAGTGCCTCGCATTTGCTCTAATTTGATTTTGAGCGGCAACTTCTTATGCGATTCGCTTCCATTGCCTGTCAGTGCCTTAAAATGTGCCAATTTTCAGTTGTGTTTATTGATTTAAGTCGACTGAAAGATGACTGATATTTCTGTGTATGTATAATTAGATTGCACCGTGCGCCCAACCTAATTCGTGTACCATCTATCAAAAAAAAAAAAAACAATACAAATAAAGAAGTACAACTTTCAGGCACAAATACTTTAAAGTGTACTCACTAACATCTTTTTGACTAGAGACTTTTAACAAAAGCGACATCGAAGATTTTATACCCTTTTAAACTTTTGCCATGCAGCTCTGCATATATTGCAAAATAATAGTGCTATAAAAAGATTTGGGTAATATGTGCTATATGCATATAGAAATTTTAAAATGCCTAGTTTAATCTAAATAAGAATAGTTGAGTGCAAAAATGAAAACGTATAAAAATTATAGTGCATTGCATCGCACTCGTTCATTGTCCAGAAGTATCAAACAGGTGACCATCCAAATTTTCAAATAGAAATAGAATTTTCCGATTGTACGCTCGATATTTTGGGATAGATCCGTAGAGAAGTTCATTATTAGTCAGAATTTCTAAAAGGATCACTCTGGCTTTCTAAATTATGAAAATATATATTTCAGCGATATGCCACGCCCTCAGCTATATAATCGTAACACTTTATCTGTCGCCGGAATGGCGTTGGAAGAGCAGACGGACATTGCAGAAATCCAATATACTCTTCCAAACGATCATTCTTTATCGATCGTGTTATTATTTCTTACTATCGCTACCCATAGGCGAAAAGCTTTCATAACCCTCTGAGGAGTTGGGTCAAAAGTGGGCTACTATTATTGTACTTGTATATTCAAATAAGATGAAATGGCTTATCGTCGGTAAATCTTGAGACTTACTCTCAGCGTTGTGCATTCATCTTTCGCCACAAAACAACGACAATGTATCAAAAGTGGTACGCAATCTTAGAAAAAACCATAAAATTGGGTAGCTTAAATGATCGAATTTACAATATCAATTATAATTATATATAATATAATTCCGAAATGCCAGATTTTAGCAAAATCTCATCAGTTTATCAATAAATTGCGGGGGCTCTCAATTTGTATGCAATTTTTGTGCAACTGAAATGCACTCGGAACGGGGCACCCATTTCGT